TAGTGCATTGCAGTGAGTCGAAGGGCGCGGTGAGCGGCCCCAATGAGATTAGTTGGCTCACCGGGTTCTTGACTCTTTGTGTTGCACCATTCGGCTTGATAGCCCCATCGAAGCTTTAGCTGACTGACGCGGGTATTCTTCAAAGCAGTCTGACGCCCACCGACCAAGGAGTTTAATCGATAATCTGTCGGCTCCGCCTGCTACAAGCGCGGTGGCACCGCCAATTCGAATTGAGTGAGTCGCGTACGCTCGAGGTGAGACGCCGGCTCGCACTGCTATCCGCTTGAGGGCTTTCGACACTGTTCTCGCGCTGAGATTTCCACATAAATGAGGCTCTGATCGCATCTTGAGGTCTATTCGAGCTTGAATGATGTTGTAGAGACCGAGTAGTGGGCATATCACAGGATCACCGGACGCGTGCATCGTCCGCCAGGCTCCGCGGCCGTACTGGTCGTTCTTGGCACCTTCAAGCCCGATTGTTACTGATGTCGCTAGCGCGTACTTCACTGCCTTGCCGTCCTTATCTGAGAAGTAGGCGTTACTGGCCTTGAGACAGTAGAAGTATCGAGTGGACCCGATCAGTAAGTACTCCGATCTCCGGAGCATAAAGAAGTATCCAATGAGTATGCTACCCCACAACAGGCGCTGCCGCGGTCGGGATACATCGAGAGTGCGGTGCAGTAGACGGAGGAATGGCATAGTAATTGGTTGCTTCTTGCGTTTAGGATCCGAAAGTCGCTTGATACCTTGTAGTAGCATGGTGAGACGGGGGCTACTGGAGATTATCAGGTTCTTGTATCGTCTGTGAAACCACTTAATACTGGCAATCTTCAAGACGATAGTGCTGTGCTTGTTACCGACGCGTTGGCGGTTGGTTCCTCGAGCCCAGCAGTACGTGGCGAAATGTCCAAGTCGGCGAGCCGCGCTTGTTGGTGTGAGCCATCGGGACCATCCCATGTCTCTTGCAAAACGGCACCATTGGTGCCAGTACGCGCGGTACTTGGTATGGGTAGAGACTGCCAGGGAGTGGCGGAGCAGCAATGCTCCCACACGACTGATAGATCGTCGAAAGGAGACTCGATGAGATCCTGTGACCATGAAGCAGACAAGTTAGACCATACTTTCGATATAGTGTCAGTGCCACCCCACGCCCTTGATCCAGCGTCTGCCATGACGTTTAGCTTCCCCGGGATGTGTGATGCCGTGCAAATGAGATTGTACTGGAACTCCGCCAGGGACAATAGACGATTGTACAGTTGGGAAGTCGGGTGCTTACTTGTTCGCCGATTCGCCCACGTCACCGCAGATGTGTTATCGATGTGAAACTGAATGTGCTGCGGTAGTCGGTTGTGTGGATCATACCACGTGGGACCCCAATGCAAGACGGCCAGTACCGCACTGCGTAATTCTCGGATATTGATTGAAAGAGCCTGGGCCTCCGATAGGGAGAACCTTTGACGAAGATATCGCTTATGGGCCGGATCTAGCGCACAGAGGCCTTCGCCACTTGCGTCCATGTACACATGGACCACAGGATCAGATAATTCTGCGAACTGAGACACAGGAATGGAATTGAAACGCTCGGGATGCTGTAGGACGGTCCGAAACCATAACAGATCCTCTCGTGCTTCAGCTGATAGCTTGCGCTGACCAAATCGTGGCATTCGGTTTGCGCTGACTTGGAGCTGCTGAAAGAAAGCTCTGGCGGGGCGTGAACAGCTTGCTACGTGTCGGAGGCTGCCCAGGACTTTGAGAATTGCTGTCTTGGTAAATGACCGAGCGGATAGCATCTCCGTGACCCGTCCAATCGCTTTGCCGATCTTGTCTTCAGGTATAGAGACACAGCCTTCTTCGGTGTCCCATAGAAGCCCCAACGCCTTATTTACGGTTGCCCACTGTGTGAATTTGAGCTCGTTAATGGCTGACGGACCCAATACAGTAGCCACTGCACGCCGTAGTGATATGTTGGCGTCAAAACATCTGCTTCCGACATCAATCTCGATGCACGTGTGGTCATCGCACCATACGTTGCCGGTAAATATTCGAGTCGTTCCGCGTCCGAATTCGTAATAGTGATTGATAAGTTTACCTGCAACAGCGTAGTAGGCTGGTGATCCACACCATCCAAACCCGCATGCGAGATCTATCACGAGAACATCCTCGTAGAGGAAGCTGAACATGTGTACCGCCGTAGCGTTGATTGGTATGTGGCGAAATGCACCCGCCACGTCTCCGAGCATCAACCGCACAAGTGCGGACTTAGCCGACTTCTTGAGCTGGTGAATTCGCCGTGCGATGGCCTTCGGTGGATTGTACGAGATCGGAGGATAATCACTCCGATCTGTGTAATCGTTCACCGAGTCCTCGGGCGGAAACGAATAGTCATTAATGAGACGGGTATCGTTGTTTTGAGCAGCACCTGGCTTGTCGATTACGGCCAGCGGGCTGATGAATATTTCAGGCCACTGATCAAGGAGTTGGGCATCCACAATCAGGTACCGGCCTTCGAGCTGACCCTTACGGAGATGTCGTCTAATGCTACGACTGTGACTTGCGATACTCCGGTGATTCGCTGGTCTGGTCGTTTGAAGGTGTGGTTTTGTTGCAGTCCATCGCGGGTTGACACCGTGACGAACGATTTCGTTCCATGTCGCCACGGTTTCAGCTATATCGGGATGCGAACTCGGTCTTAACTCGTAGAGATCTTTGTTGGGTCTTGGGTCATCGCTCGTTTGCCCACGAAAAATACGGACAGCATCAGCCAGAGATAAATCACCGTGCTTGGACATATCGGACCAAAATCGTACTTGGGTGTAGTCGATATCGTCCGGTGTGGACGCGTTAGTAACAGGATCATTTACACCAAATTTACAGGCCATTGTCTTCCAATGCTGATGGACGGTAGATGTGCTTGCGGCGTGTATCTTGTTGAGCGTATCCATGAAGACATTGTAGCGAGATTGTTTTGCCCGGTACTGCTCCTGACACAGGTGACTAACCGAGGCTGATGTACTTCGTGCTGCCCGAGACTGTTGGCTTCATAAGTCTTTGCACTCTTCCGACAAACCTTTCCAACGTTGTGCAATGACCGTCTTGGTTTCTTCCGTTAAGGATGCTGGTTTGAAGTGAGCACGAGCACAGTCTGTAACGTTGCAGCCGGCTTTCGACACATACCGCAAACACAGTCGGTGTCCGTCGTCACCCTTTGGAAGTGATTCAATGACAGGAAACGGTATTCTCTCCTTGTTGTGCTGACGGGAATCGGCCTTCTTGCCAACACCACTACGGTGTGAGTTATTAGCTGCCGTCGTGATCTTCCAAGACGGATACGCCTCTTTCAGGGCGCTTAACTGCTCGTCGTTGCGGCTGAATTCTTTCCGAACACGAAGTGCTGAACGGATGCCTTTCGTGACCAGACGACTGCGGAACTTACTGAATTTCGTATTGATCCAGTGGGCGAGAAGACGAGCCATAGCTGGATCAATTGGGGCACTATCCGCGTAGGAGATGATGAAATCGCGAGCAGTCCCGATAAATTTCCGCGTGGCCTTGTTGTAAAAGTACTTGGCGAACTTGTAAAAGGAAGACAACGCGCTGGTAAGATCCGCTATTTTAGTTGCTCGCGGCGGTGCTGCCAAGGCATTTCTGGCAGAGAAATCCCACATATTCATCCCTCTTTCGGTCGTTGCCACCTCATCTGCGGTGAGTGCACGCCTAAAATGCATGATCGATAGTCCCACACCGAATCCAAAGCAATACGCACCACGAAGTACGGGAGGGGTGGCAATAAAATCAACATGCTCCGACTGCTGGGCAGACTGGAGAAGCATCTGAGGTTCCTTACCTGCATGTCGAAGCCGCACGATAGCGCTGTGGGCTCTGCGATCCGATGGAGAAGGGTGGAATACCACGCCCTTGCTATTCTTGTCCCAGGCGTAGCTGCTCTCGTCTTGATCTGAACTGCTGCTGTGATCTGAGCCAATGTCTTCGCGGTCAATACGGCGCCGTTTACTCAGTGGTCGGTGCATGTGTTGGACGTCTCGGATGTTCTCGTCCTCCGACGAGCTTGACAACGCCATTTCCTCACTCTCACCCGCACTTTCGTCCATCCTGCGCACCGATTCACCAGCGCCTAAGCCGGCTGGTCGTGAGCTTTGGCTTGACTGGCGATCGGCCGCTCGCGACCGTTTGGCTACTGTAGGTGACGCCGTTTCGTGGGTCACGTATAAGTTTTCTGGTCGCTTCGTACGCGCTGCCGTTTTGTAATCCACGATGTGCTGACGAGTAACCCGGACTAGTTCAAGTGTGGACGGGCGAATGAGTGGTAGTAAATCGCCACCCTTGAAAGGGACAGTTGCTGAATCAACGATTTCTTTTGGAAGCCCGGACCGCCGACGCTGACACGCTGCAATAATCTTATTTTGTTTATCCAGTAGCTCCGTTGGGTTAACCGCCGTAGTGTTGACACCCGCACCAGTTTGGAGAGCGTAATTGAGCACGTCCACCTTGATTATCGTTGTTGCTGTGGTGAGACGGAGCCGAACCGAGTCGTTAGGACATATAACATGTAGCGTTGCTGACTGTTCGGAGGTGTCATATCCAGACACGACTCCGTATGCCCATACGTCAACTCCGTCCGTTGACGTGCGGGGAAATGCAACCGGATGGGCTAACAGTGAGCCCGGCCACAGATCCCGCTCATGGGCTGGCACCACTCGATTTTGAAGCGTCTCCACTGGGACAGACAGTGTGTTACCATCCCCATTTTCCTCTGCATCAGGACCAACCACCTTGACCGTTACGGTTCCGTCGGCAATCGTGACAACCTCTACATATTGAAACTCTGCGAGTTGGCTTATGTGGTTGGGTCCGACAAAGGCAAGATCACCAGGAGAAAGGTTCGCAGTCATGACAGGCACTGAGAGGGGTTGAGGAGGAGAATGGGGAGTTCGACTTTATCGGTGAAGATGAGAAACCGGAGTGAGTGGCTTCTCCTTCGCTACTGCTAGCACTACCGTATCTATATCGGGCACCTTCGTCCTCCTTAACTGAGCTTGATCGCACTTTGCATACTTCTGCTTCCGGAAATAGCAGTATCCACTCACGGATACTGAACCTATCGCCAAACTCTGTAATTTTGCCTTTTTCTTTGGCTGGTGAGATTGAGGCAGCTCGCGAAGAAAGTGATCACCACCACTACAAGGAAAATATTGACGTGCATTGTGGGCGGGGAATTCGGCGGTGGACGGTGGTGGAGTGAAAAGACTCATTTTGGGAGATCTAAACAACTTGGCGAAGAAAAACTAAATTATAAATTGAAGTGAAACGATACTTTGCTCTATTCTAGACCTCTAAAATAGTCTCTAAATCAGAGTTTGTATGACTACTTCGGTTTGCTCTGCTATATAGGGGTCTCGTTTTGGTAACGATGGCGAAATTCTGCGTTTGAGCTCACGACTAAGCGTTGAATTACAAGTGTATAACTCATGATGAAGATAAATGGTGGCCTTCTATTTTGTTTTAACTATTCGTTTTGTATAGTACAAGTGTATAACTCATAATGGACAAGTGTGTCTTGTTAATATTTACCTCCAGTTGGGGGTACTCGATGAATGCAGTGTCACATGGCAACTAAGCATGCCCGATCCTTTCAGAAACAGAGATACCCCGCAAAATGCACTCTGTCGTACACGACGTGCGTCCACTAATGATAATGGCCATGGGCACTCACCATTTGCTTTGTTAAGTATTATCTATTGTGATGAAGTTTTGGTGCCCTCTTTTACAAGCAGTAACTTCATGCAAGAGAGAGCTAGCCCTTTCGAATGTCGCGCCTCCCACTTGACCTTCGGGCCTGAGTGTCTCTTCTCCGGGCCTTCCTCCATTACCTTAACCTCTCCTCACCAATGCTTTTTGCCTCAAGAGCGGAAGACTGGTTGTCAGCGAGGTCCACGAGTCGAAATGGTTATTCCAGCAAAGTATCGAGCTTCTGCTCCACTCTTGCTACTCGATCGTCTAGTGTTCTCACTTCTTCAGACAGTTTGAAAATCGAGCGTTCAATCTGTAAATTCCCATCTGTGTTTTGTTCTTCTACAAACATGTTATTCATCCTCGTCTTCATGTTCGTCGAATTACTCTCCATCTTAGCGTTAACGAGAAATAGACCCACTTGCAGATACTGGAACGTTGCGCACATTTCTTCATGTGTGATTTTCGCAGCAGGAAATAATTCTAACAACGTTGTTGAACTGAGTCTCACAGGCGACTGTGAAACGCCACCTCTGTGTTCTCCTTCAATATGACACAAATATTGTCGCTTTGCCTTCAGCACTCGTAGCAAGAGTGGAGGATATATCTGTCCATCCCAAATAACGTTTTCTCGAGAAAGTTTTCGGACATATTATTATACGTTTTTGAAAAATTCCAACGCTTCCACGTCAGCAATTGAAGGTGTGGAACGCGCTGGGTGGTCTTTTGTAGGGACAAGCCGCGTTCTGCCTTGGCCACGCCAGCATAGAAGTGATCGAATAGCTTCTTTGGAGGGATAGTTTTTGCGAATTCTAGCGATAAGTTGTCTGCTCACCTCCCCATCGTGTCCTTCTTGGGTTATGGTTTGGTAAACTCCAATCACCATCGCCAGCATCATGTTGAGAAGAACGGTATTGATAACAATCATGTAGCTCCAGAAGTAAATACCCGCCCCACGAAAGCTACTGATACTGTTGTAGTCGAACGTTTGAAACAGCATATTCATACAGGATACAATCGAGTTTGATGCCGATGAGAACTGATAAACATGTTTGCCGAAAAGACTATTCCCCGCCAAAGAAAAAGTCATAAAGATGATGATAAAGATCACGATAAAGTCCCGGAACTGACGAAGAGAAGTTGCCACTGTACGAGCGAACACATTTAATCTCGGGTGAAAACGCAATTGTCGAATGACAAACGAACCCAACTGGATGATCGTGATGGCTCCAACCATGCTATATGCGTTGACCCAAATTGCAGCATCATCGAGTGCCTCAATGACTTCGCGTAGAGCAAGGAAAAATTCGTCACTGTTTGAGCAGCTGTCAGCAAGTACTTCGAGTTCACTATCGATACTCGTTGTTAAGATTTTTATTGCCAGTCCAAAGAAAACAGGAATTGCTCCATATTTGATAAACAATACCCCAAATATTCGTGTACATTCCCAAACTTTTCCACGAACTCCTTGATGCCAAACTAAACGTGGTCGAGAGAGAGCTTTTTTTCTTTTCAATATAATACAAGATACATCCGTAATACACAAGGCCGATCCCCACAATAACGATAGACTGTACCATGTGCTGCTCACGATAGTCTGGGACAGATTGGGTTGAAACACTGGGGTTAACCGACCCAGCTTCGCGAAAGTTGACGTCGAGTCGCGTCACAGAAAAAGTGTCAGTGTTGCTGTTATATGTGGCGACAGTCACCCGGAAGAGTTTAGTGTGATAGTTCACCCACGTGTCATTCATTTTCAAGCTTGTGATTGTATTTGCAGCTTCCCTTGAACTCATGTTCAAATCCAAGAAAATAGATGAAGTCCGCGGGTGCTCTGCTGCCAAACAGTATGGATACAATTGAACAAAAGCTTCAGTGGAGTTGCAATCTCTGAATCCTACGGCGGTCTTTTCGAGAATCACACCGCCCAAAATCTGGTTGCTTAGGTCCAGATACCCACGACGCGATAAGGTTTCATTAACATCAGCCGTAAAAAACACTGTGGGAATTAATGTGAACGTAAGCCAGTCGAAAATATCGTCAGCGTTGCCGATGTCACGGAACTGAGTAGAATCGTGGAGTTGTAAATGCTGGTCAGTTGGAGGTGCAAGCGCGTCGGACACAGCAGCAGACTGGTCAAACAGTTGTTGCGTCGGCTTCTCCGATCCGAGCAAAATACTGATGGCAACCAGAAGTCGCAAGCCTGCGAAGATGGTCGAATTGAAGCGAAGCAATAGCATCGTCGAGATCCATCGACAAACAGGGATAGCCTCCCTCGAGCTCGGTATCATTCGCGCATAAATTTGAGCTGTCAGCACTCGCAAGCATGGCCAAGTCCTCCATCCCCTTCGACTCAAAACTCTCGACTTTGATTTCCACAACTGAGTCATTCGTCGTATTTGCTCTTGCAGCAGATCGTCGCACACTCATGTTGTTCTGGCGTTTGGAATCCAAACGATCGGATCGTGCTCCAGAAACTTTTGAAATGGCCTCTCAGGGCTTTCAGCCGCCCACTGGCCATGAACACATGTGAGGTAGTGAGGTATGCTGATTTCAAGTTGGTTCGGGAAGATCTTCAATAATTTACTTCGAAGTAGCATACTCAAAGGACTCTAAATCCGCTGAAACCAAATTCCGCCTCGGTCTTGTGAGTACAATGTACCGTTAGTACAATTTTGTATGAGTTAAACAGTTTAAACATCGAGGATGTTTTCGTTTGGGATGAAGAACTAACTCGGCTGCGCTCGTAAGAGTTTAATCTAGCTTTGTTGACATCTATTGCTTCATGTCTCCCTTATACAATCTATATCCTTCTCCCACTTGGTTGCTTGATCACTTCTAATACTCCTTGTACACTCGTGTCCTCGTCGAATCCACGAACAAAATTCTAAATCTAAAACCCTATGAAGCACGTCTCACTTCAGTCTACGAAGACTGTGAACCGTGAGTCGGTGTAGTAGTCTCTGTCTTCAACTGCGCCAATTCATCGTCACGCGAGGCCACCGTCTGGCGCAGCCGACGGTTCTCGAGCTCCAGTTCTCGGATCTTGCTCATACGCGTCTCCTGTTCCGCCTGAGCGATCTCAAGTCCACGCACAAATTCTCGCAGTAATTCCTTCTGGCTGTACAAATCTCCTTCATCCGTCCTCTGCCAGCGACCAGCACGCTGATCCATCTTGGTTAACTCGTCCAGATATTTATTCTTCAGCATCGAAGTAAGTGATGGACGAGTGGTTGGGTTCGGAGCTTCGATAGCTTCAGGTTGAGGTGGAGTGTCGTGCTGTGCATCCTCTTCATGCTCCGGTTCGTCCTCTTCATCTCCATCGTATTCTTCCTTCGTCTCTGCGACGTCTTCGTCGTTATCTGTGAGATGTCTAGACGACGATGTGGACAGAGGTAGAGTCTTGGTACTAGCACTACCACCACTGCCGATCAGCGTCTTGTTTGAGGTATTGGCGGAGCTGCCAGAGTGGACGAGACGTGGGCGTGCTTGGTCATCGTCTTTGCCTTCCTCTTCAGTCTCAGGCTGGATACTGACAGTGCTGGAACTGTGGACTGGTTCACGACGAAGTAAGGGACGAGTTTCAGTCCTGGACTGCGTTTGAGAAGTTTGCATCTCAGCTTGTCGAGCTGCAAGCTGTCGCGGTGTCGGCTTTCGCTCGGGTTCACTTCGACGCGTAGTCTGGACTGGGTGTGGCATTTCCCACGCTTCAGGAGGTGTAGCCATGGCTGGGAACATGTCGTCGTCTATAGACGCGAGTTCCTCGTCATCAGGTCGCTCCTGGCCTTGCGAGTTCAAAATGACCCTATTGATGTTGTTGATGGCGAACTTGAGCTCCATCTGACGCTCGTTTAGAGTTTGGTTAGAACTGCTGGGCTCTCTTGGTCGTCGACGTATCTGTAAACGCTCCAGTTGCTCCTCTAATTCTCGAATACGGGCTCGGTATTTCCGCAGTAACGCAGACTCGCCCAAGCCTTCGTTCACCACCACTCGGTTGCGTACTCGTCTTGCTCGACTAGCAAACTTCAGCGTGTTGTGGGTCTCCGCCAAACACTCTACAGAGGGCGAAGCAGTGCAGACAATAGCAATTTGTGCTTGGCCACCCAGCGACGGCTGTAGAATCCGAGTGAGCTTGGAATTGCGGTACGGTAAGTGTGTTGTGCTGGGCGTTCTAACTCCACTTGGACTCTTCCTATGACGGTCTCGACTAAGCTTCCAGATGATGTGTCCGAGTGTAAGTAAGCTGCGGTTGATGAACTTGCCCTCTTCTAAAGCCTGTCCTGTGGTGTTAGCGAGCCGAACACTCTCTGAGCCGGCGAGATCGATAATGTTGAGCGTCGCAGAGCGCACTGGCGCCACCTCTCCGCGGTCTCTGCTCTTCCGTTTCGCTTGACTCTCGATGACCTTCAAACGACACACAAGCCAGACAGAAACACGCCACAAAACGTGAGTAAGTGAGTCAGTTCAAAGCGCAGTCCTACTGTAAACTACGCCCCTGTCTGACCGAGGCTGTCCACTAGCACCAACTCACCATTCGGAACACCACGTGAGACCTGGAGGATTGGTCGTTCGACTCAGTCATGGCCATGTGACGGTGCAAGTTGCCCACTTCTACTAGCGAGAGCACGTGCTCTGTGGACAGCACAATCTCCTCTCTTAGGCCTTTGATCACCACGTCTTTAGTTACAAACCCGTCGCGTGCATTCCCGATTGCTGCAGCCGCTCGGTTGTGTACATCATAGATCTTAATGTCCGATTTCGCCCCAGCAGCCAGTAAATCGTGGATTCGTTCGTTGTAAATCTCCAAATACGAAAAGCGTAACAAGAATTCCATACTCGGATGTCGAGCGATGTGGTCGAAAATGTCCTGGACGCCTAGCTGAATGATACCGGGGTCTCCTCGCCCACCCTACAAGGGCAAGTAGTCAGCAAAAAGAGTCGGTTCAAGGTGATTAAAACGGTATCTTCAACTAAGAAAGAACAACATAAAATACCTGCATAGTATACGTCTTGCCAGTGCCGGTTTGTCCGTACAAGAAGACGGATGAGTGGTAGCCTTCAGTAGCTGCCATAATGACATCCTAAACACAATTAAAAAATCGTTAGTGTTGTTTGATAAGGTGGGACGCCCTCATCTTGTACGACAAGATGCAGCCATGTGGAGCTCCTTAATAAGCTCCTTTTTGTTGCATTTGTACCTTGACGGTCTCGTTATAAACGGTTTGGGTTTGTGTCGCTGGGGGGTACAAATAGTCAAACGAATAGGAGGACGGCAACGCGGACGAGTCCCGCAGTGCCGAAGAGCTGGAAGACGCCGTGGACCCACCACTACGTTTCTTCTCCTCCCCGTCGCTCGTGGACACCCGCGACGGGATCTGTGCTGGGAAAATCTGCTGATAAATAGTGTTCTCGTGCCTATTTTAAAGGGTAAAATAGGTCAAATTTTGATGCGGACGAAATAAGGCACGACGGCTATAATTGCGCCACGTACCATGTCCAGGCCGCTTTGCCGCCGGCCTTGAGTTTCTCGGTGCGTGTAAAGGGGCGCAGTCGGACGCACACCTTGATGCGCTTATCGCGCGTGGGGGCGCTGGACGACGCCATGCCGCTGCAGGCGAGGGGGGAGTGCGAATCCGAGACTAAGGCCTCGGGGATTGTTCCGGGCAGCTCGGCGCTGCTACAGACGGCGCAGAGAGCGCGCGCCGCGGCAATGAGGGAGTCCGGCGACGGTACCGTCGTCCCATCCACGTCTTGACCCATCGTGGTGTACTCCACACAAGAGCAAACGAGCCAGCCTTCTTCCGAGTCGTCAAGTGGTGTGCCCGTGTTCCTGCAGTGGGTTTTGGTGATCTATGGGCTCAATAGACTGCTGTAGTTGCACTGCAATTGCCGCTGTTTTCGTTGTGGCATGAGCTCTAGAGCTGGAAGGTTCCCCCCGAGACTTTCGATGTTTGTTGCTACGTTGAGACGCGTTGTGGAGCCATGAGTGACGTGGCCAGCTCCGGCGAGACGACCAACGTGTGTTTGATGGGTTCGTTTTCCAGCGAACTATCAACGACGACTGCGAGGCATTTATTTGCCAACAAGCTGAGCTACATGCACTCGTACTCGAGCCTTGGTGTGAAGACTTTGGACGCACTGACTCGTGTGGAATTTTGCTGCGAGCCGGATACTGCGGCACCTGCGGATTCTGCGGATGTTCGGCCCTGCCTACCGGAACTCGAGTTGCCTCTCAACGTCCGCCTGCTCCAGTCGTTCGCAGACCTGGTCAGACAGGACACGCGAAAGTGGCACATCGAGCTGTGCAGCGATGCAGCAGCAATAAAGCTCATGAGTCATGACGCACCAAAAAACTTGCCGTCTACGAAGAAGAAATTTTTGCTTCCTCTTCACAAACTAGGATGTTCACAAAGGTGCCGTTGCTGCCGGCTTTGGGGCTCGGGGATCCCTTCAACGTGGCGGCGATCTTCCAGTAGGAAGATCAGAGTCAAAGTTGCAGTCTGAAAGGTGCAGAGACGGGGTGAAAGGCCTCACAATCGGACGATGAAGTGGCATTCATGTTCCAAGATCCGTCTGTGATGTTCGTCACACAATTTACGTTTCAAACACAATGTACGTTTCGTACACAACTACATTTTTAAGAAGATAGTGGATAAAGATCACTGCATCATTTCCCTCCATGTTGGCCGCTCGCCGCTTGCTCCCGCGTTCCCAATCCGCATTCCGCAGTCGCTTCTTCGCCTCCAGTAGTATAGGCCAAATGCAGATTCTTGAGACCGTCGATGTCTTTCGCCAGGCGCGGCGTGCACTTCCCCCGAACTCAACACTGGGCCTTGTACCCACCATGGGGGTATGTCAGCTAAGCACCTGGATAATACCCATTTTCTTCCTATTATCTAATGGATAATTACTATTGTTACCTTTTTTTGGCAGGGTCTCCATGAGGGTCACATGTCGTTAGTAAAGCAGGCGCGCAGTTCGTGCGACTTTGTGGCTGCCAGCATCTTCGTGAATCCGGCACAATTCGGTCCAAATGAAGACTATTCCAAGTATCCACGGACATTTGAGAAGGACGTGGCGCTATTGAAGGAGCAAGGTGTGGATCTGGTCTTCTTCCCGTCGGCTGACGAGATGTACTCGCCCTACCACAGTTGCTATGTCGATCCGGAAGGGTTTGACGATCTGGTCGAGGGCCAATGCCGCAAAGGCCACTTCCGTGGCGTCGCTACGGTCGTGACTAAGCTGTTCAACATTGTGCAGCCCACACACGCGTTCTTCGGACAGAAAGATGCGGCCCAAGTCGTGCTGATCAAGCGCATGGTCTCGGATCTGAATATACCGGTACAGATTGAGGTCATGCCTATCGTGCGTGAAGCCGACGGTCTGGCACTGTCGACGCGTAACCAGTACTTGTCGTCTGTGGAGCGCAAGGCGGCCAGTGTACTACACCGTGGGCTTGTGCATGCGCAGGATCTGTTTCAGAAGGCAAAGAAGGATGGTAAGTCGATAGTCGATGCAGTGTCACTGCGTGATGCTGTTCGTGAGGAATACGAGCGGGAACCGCTGGTGACTGCCATCGAGTATGTGTCTGTGGGATCCAAGCAAACGATGCAGGAGATGTCCGCAGTGGATACGGCGGAGGGGGCTATCGTTTCCGTCGCTGTCAAACTCGGCCAGTGCCGCCTGATCGACAACATTGTTCTGTAATCCGACGATACTGTGACCAGACCTAGAAAAACATTTGCAACTAAATATGTTTTCATGTAAGTGATGACAGGGTCAGTTGCTTCGCTTCTTCGCAGTCCACGTCGTGTCTGAGTCCAGCGAGCGCTTGCGACCATTGGTTACTGCTTTTGAGCTTGTCTGGTTCAACATGTCTGCATCCAACTCGCCCCAATCGATGTCGTCAAAATTATCATCAATCACGGCGTGGCTAGCGGTTTTCGAAGACGTCAGTGACGTCTTGCGTTTGGTCTTGTCTTGGAAAAATGGGGACGACTTGGGCGCTGCAGGCGCTTGGACTACCTCGACACCGGAATCCAACACTTCCAGGCTGTCTAACACGTTGCTGGAACGGGATGCTTGCACAGGAGATGGAGTTAGGTTGTTCTATTGAAGCAAAAAAAGCAGTTAGTGGGAAAATTTCAGCAAGCATAGCGGTTGAACGAAAAAGGTTGGAGTGCTGGACCTTTTCGAGGTAGGTCTTGACGATGTCAATGATCGCTGCACCATACTTCTTCACGCGAATGCGTCCGACGCCGTCAATCTCCAGGAGCTCTGCATTCGATACGGGAACCGAATTGGCAATCGAGGCAATACCTCCGGTCGTAAGGATGTGGTAAGGCATGACGTTCTGGCTGTCACACACGCTGGCACGCCAATCCTTTAATATCTGGGCTAGTGTTTCGGCGTGGTCTTCAGGAATTCTGCGGCGCATACGAAGATGATTGACTCAGTGCGTGTATATCTACAACAGAAAGAACAGAGACGCACCTTCTTGAAGAAATGCGCTCAGGGATGAGCGGGTATTCCGTTGTAGTCGCCGAAGGCGGGGCCACCTCCACGACATCGTCATCGTAGCCATCGCTCAGTTCCTCAACCACGTTCTTCGCGCTCGCCTTTTTCTTCTTAATAGTTTTACTAGGTTTCTTCGTCTTTTTGCTTGCAATAGTTTTCTTTTGGGCCTTTTTCTTTGAGGTTTTAGTGCTCTCTTCTGGTGCACTATCGCTGGCAGATGCACGCGACTGGTATTTCGTCTTGCAAACGATACGAACTCGCTCGCCACGCATGAGTCTGTTTGAATTTATTCCAAGCGATAAGAACGTCGTCGTGAAACCCTTCGCATTGCTTTGGTCCTGTAAATGACAGTGGTAAGTGATAAGAAATTGTTTCCCGAAAAGCTTAGAATGGGCGGACTCACCACTTCGCGCAGATACTGCCGAAGAATCATGTGATACAAAATGCGCTCCACTTCACTGCGAGAGTAGCGTCCTTTGCCTCTACCGAATCCTCCGAGTTGTGAGAACTGGTCTTGCTTCCATTCTTTGCCCTTGACTACCATGCCAAGAAATATTTGGGCAATTTGCACCAGCGTCGCCGGATCACCATTCGCTTGTAGGGCTTTTACTACAATAGAGAAGGACGTAATTGTCAGAAGAAAAAAAAATATATCATGGGTTTGTAATTCAGACGTACTCATCTCAGCGAGGGCTACGCAGTCTTCAGTCACGTCAGACTTCTCGAACGAAATACCCAGCACCTTGTTCTTACAGTTATCACACGTTCCGTGGCATTGTTCACTCGAAAAGTGCTCTCCAAAATACTCGAGAAGGGATGTTCGGCGGCATTCAACTTGATTTTCGCAAAATTCAGTCATGCGGCGAAGGTTTTGCAGATGCACATTGCGATGCTGCATATTCTCGCGATCCTTCGTTATCAGCTTGCGTCGTCGAGTCTGATAAACACACGCCTCTGAGTAAGTGCTAACAATAGTAGGGTGAGACCGTTAAGTGTATGCGCACCAGATCCAAGAAGGAATAGTAGAGAATACAGTTCGCCACTTCTCCATCTCGTCCAGCTCGACCTGCTTCCTGTAAAGGAAATGATTCAGCCACCCCACACGTGAAAAGTGATAGCAGAACATTGTACCTGGTAGTAATGCGTCACAGACTGGGGTATGGTGTGATGGATAACGTAGCGGACATCAGGCTTGTTGATTCCCATTCCAAAGGCTACGGTGGCGCAAATCAGCTTGATTTTGCCTTTGCTCCATTCGTGGTGACGATAAGCGCGGTCTGCCGCTTCCAACCCCGCGTGGTAAAACGAAATTTGGCTTGCTTTTCGCGTGTGTTCAAACCCCAAGGCCTTAATCAGTTTTTCTGCTGTTTGCTCGCAATCCTTTTTCGACAAACTATCCGAATACGGCAGAACCAGTTTAGTGGCAACAAAAAACTAATAAGTGACGCTCTCGCAGACATACCAGTAGATAATTCCCGAATCGTCGATGTGTTTTCGAACGAAATCTGCAATTTCAGCCATAAATTTGGAAGTTTTCTTGCGTACATCGTACGTCAAGTTTGGTCTGTCAGACGCATATCGATATCAGAAACTTTTCTCCCCTTCCGGTTACGAATATATGCAAACGTACCGATTAAAACTTGAGCGAGTGATGAACGGATTTTTCAACTTCAGATTCCTGACGATATCTGCTTCGGTTTGTGAATTTGCCGTGGCAGTTAGAGCCATAATCGGAACCTGCTTGTGTAGCATATAAAAAATAATGTCAGGACTGGATACAAAGAGCAAGTTCCAACAAACCAGCGCACAGATGGGAACTTTGTTCGGAGTGTCCCCAGATTCAGATAGTCTTTCCGGAAATCGTGGCCCCACTGACTAATGCAGTGAGCTTCGTCGATCACAAATCGAGCCAGCAAGCCGCGTTTTTCGAGGGACTCGAACAGATTGTTGAGCATGCCGCTTGAGGCAATCTTCTCTGGTGTCACGTACAGCATCTTGATCCTTATTTGATTGGAAAAGAGCTCCGAAATAATAGGCCGTTGTTCGGTAGCGTAGTCTTGGTCACCTTTCAAATTCGCAACACCCACATCCAGTGCCTCAAGCTGTTGAACCTGGTCTTGAATCAGCGAGACCAACGGAGAAATGACGATGGTGACACCGTCATCAATGCATGCAGGTAGCTGAAAGCAGAGACTTTTTCCACCTCCAGTGGGCATTAACACGAACACATCACGCCCACTAAAAGCCTCCATGACTGTGCGCTCCTGATTGGGTCGAAACGAGTTATGGCCGAAAACATCCCGGAGCACTCGCTTCGCGCGCTGCATTTTGGAATTCACACTTGGATCACTAGATACACAAGGCTGTTCAATAGCGCGTGGACGAGTCTGGTGCACTCCACTGTTGCCTCCAGAACTTGACGCTGCGTCCACCCAAGAATGAAATCCGCATGTGTTGCATCGATAATAAAGTCGGTTAGCGTTTGCTCCGTGCTGTACTCGGGCTTCCACGGTTGTCATTCCACAAGAACACATCGGGTTCTTGTTAGAGGAATCGCCTCCACATTGATAGGATTGAGGTGTCTGCACAGCTCGAGGCGGAATCTGTACCGGAGACACATTCCTACTTTGTGGAGAAGCCTTGGTTGTTCCTTTACACTCCCTGTATCGCCTGCTCAGTTCCTCCAGCTCCTGTTCCAGCTCTGAACGACGTTTCTGCATAAACTCCGGTACTTCTCCCTCGAGCGATGCATCGTCACATTCCTCGCGAACTTTGCGGAGATTCTCTCGTGTCTGTTTAATTGACTGACGCAGGTCTTCTGCCAGCATAGCACTCGCAGTCTCCTGGGAGCCATTAGTCTGTGTAGACGGAGGAGACACAAAACTCTCCTTCGACAATGAGGGAACCTGCGGAGCACCACGACGCTTTTGCTGCTGTACTCGCTGATGATTCGCAACCAGAGCATCCACGTCCACGTCGTCAAATAAACTGTCTGTGTCATCATCCATCCCTGTAAACGACGTCTGTTGTACTGCAGATCGTGCAGATATCGTTGTTCTGTTGTTCTGGTATCCTGTATTAGCCCGGGATGGCGACGACGGAGTCGTCCCCGTTAAATCCACAACGTCGCTCGCTGCTGGTGCAGGTTGGAAACCTGCCGCTGACGGTGCATAGTCTGCTCCATTTCTCCCTCTTCCTGCTGAACTATCACCATATTGCCTCGACGTGTCTATAGGAGCTGGAATTGGCGCTGTGTTGATCACTGGAATTGTCCCTAGAGCGATCCTGGGAGTCGGGACTACTTTGAGCTTCGTCGAAGCCTTCGATCTTGCCCGTAAGGCCTGGAACTTTAGCAATGCGTCTCGTCCTCGTTGAATAGTCTCCAAACAGTTTTCTTTATCTGCTGTTCCGTCGCTACTCGACAAGACCACCGATGGGTACAAAATACACATAATCCAGTATAGATTAGGTCTCCTTGCGCCTCCAACGAGCTGAATAGCGCTCTACATGCTCTACATAATACTCACGCTTGCTTCCTGGCCGCGCGACTGTCGAGATATGCTCCGATGACGTGGGAATTGAGACACTGCTGCAACGTGTTCATGGGAGCCTGGGTACATGTTGCCGCGAGGGATTACACAGCACATAAAGACAGTTAGACGATGAGAGAGGTATCGTTGGATAGCGCTGTGTCTTGGGTATATGTAAATTACCTTCTCAGCCCATACAAGCTGCTCCTTGAGGTTGAATTGCGGCGCCGCGTCCGCTCCATCCTCGCCCATCGGCGCTTTCGCGCGCATATTCGAAGTTTCAGTGCGGAATAGGAGTGATGGTACAACCTTTGACCAATAATGACACCTCGATTGAGTGACATATTGTTGAAGTGAATTTGGATTCAAGTTGGATCATCCAACAAAGGAAGGTTGGATAGTTGCGCGCGCAACTGCGCGCATCTTACATGTTCATTCTTCCGTGTATTGAGCCTTCTCAGTGAATTGATCTGACTGAGAAGGCACAAGGCAAATCCGGAGTAGCCAACAAATTCAACAAATTATACTGTTTTAGAGGGCGTTAGCCTGCTGAGCTGCAGATGTAAGATAAATCGGCTCCATATAGCCGCAATCGCCACGATCCCCTTCGCCTCCAAATCCATCGCTGCTAGTGAATCCGTACGTGCAACGACACACGCCCGTGAGATGGTTGCAGATTCCGCGATTCGAACAGACCGCGTCTTCTTTCGTGCCGCGCACTGAGCCCCCGACTCCATCGACACTTAGCGTCAGTGTCAACGCTCCATCCAGAATCCATCGCAGCGGTGGTAAATCCCCAAAATTCGTCAAAAACTCGATGCGCATTGTGTTCGATCCCGCAGCATTACACGCCGGTGAGCCGATGACTCCATTGGTGTCTGTGCTGTAAGTTATCGACACTTTTCCGACTGTCATCAATGCTTCTAACGCACTTGCTAGTGACGCAGCAGGAACGCTAAACGGGAGCTGAGGCGTCACTGCATCTCGGAATTTGAGAGAGAAGAAGCCTGAATTGCCCTTGCAGACCAATAATTGCACCTCATTCTGTTGACGCAGTGTCATTGGGTCGTCTCCAGTCGGACAAGACCTCAACGAGCAGTCATGACCCTCCCAGCCTGGACTGCACAGACATCCTTGTACCATATCGTACTCCCAAGTTTCCTTCTTATTAGGAACAGCACCATACGTAAATGCCATGGTGTCTCCATTAACTGTCGCTCTCTTGGCCAACTGCTCCATCGTGTAGCACGTTCCGTGGCCACTACACTCATTCGGACACACCACTACCAAAAAGTAAGCATTAGACAGCATCAGGTATGTGCAAGAATTATCGATAAAACGTACTTCGGTTGCACGCAGCTCCCGTAAAACCTGCTAAACAGAGGCATTCTCCCTTGGCTCTGTCACATTCTCCAGCATTCGAACATTCCACCAAAGCGTGAGCTGTATCAGCAGCATCTGTGGGTCGATCAAACCAAGCTCGGCCTTTGGGGCACAGTCGTTCGGTGCAATCACCGCCCGTGAAGCCTTCGTTACAGATGCAGTCGTACGTCGGTGGTCCACGACAGGTGCCTTTGCCACTACAAGCGATCTCTCCTGGACAAGCCGTGACGGTACCACTAACGTATCCACAGTCGCCACGCTGGCCGATGGCTCCGTTGCCGTCACTTGAGAAGTAATTCGGGTAGCACATGCACACACCATTGGCGGAATCGCACATGCCTCGCCTTGAACACGGTAGATTCTCCTTGGTGCCTTGAGTTACTGTGGAGAACGAGAGTGTAGGTAACGTGGAAGGCGTCGAGTGCCCAAGTCCTGCCGAATTACCGCTCATATTCGGCAAGCTAAAGAGAAATGGTGAGTTTCAACCGGGATAATACAGAGTACTTCGTAATAGATAGTAATAGATGCACGTACTCTCCGAAATCTTGCGTGAACTCGATGCTGATGTCGTTTCCGATTGCTGTACAGGCTGTAAGTGTGATCCCACCAAAGGTGACAGTCGCTGCAGCCACGGATGGCAAAGCCACTAACTTGTCCCGCACGGTCTTGGCCGAATCATCCGCAAGAATCGGGTCGGTTGTGTACCCAGCGAACGTGAGCGTAAAGCTACCAGACTAGAAGTAACAGAACAGTCAACATGGCCGAGTTAGAGTACAGTGTTAATCTCACATACCGTGGCCTTGCAGTTAACGCGTTGTTTTTCATTCCTTTGAATACCGTTCGGGTCTATCAGCGTTCCAGTGAGCGGGTCATCACCTACAGGACATAGCCCTGCGGTTACAACAAGGTCAGTCTTTTACATCTTTATAGCAGCGTTTAAAGAATTCAAAACATACTCTCCCTGCAGTTTGGACCTGTGTAGCCAGGATCGCATACACATCCATAGATCTTGTGTGCGTCCCAGTTGCTCTCGTACGGATAAATCGTTCCGCGACCAGGATCTTTCATCAGCGCATACTTGGCCATGGATTTACAGCTTCCGTGGCCATTACAACTGCAGGTCACTATAAAATAAACGCGTCAGTCAGATAAACACCTACTAAGGGACCAGAATCACGCACTTCGCTCGCAAGCAGCTCCTGTAAACCCGGAGTCGCATTTGCATGTGCCAGTGTCGAGTTCGCACTCTCCACGATTCGAACAAGGCGCTAAATTGTGTCCTTTGTCAGTTGCAATGACCTGATCGGACCACGTTGCGCCCAATGGACAACTAGCTATTGAAACATAATGCAAGAAGGGCAATTAGTCTAAATTATACAAGCGTTTGATACAGAACTACACGCACCTATGGAGCAGTCTGGGCCGGACCACCCGTTCGGACACGAGCACAAGCCCTGTGCTAGACACAAACCACGACTGGAGCAGTAGTTTGGACACGTGTATCCATGTGCGACTTGATACACACTTGACCACAACAACCAACAGACTGAAACCCAAGAACTGCAGAGCATCATGAAGCGACGAGTAAAGAGCAATGAAATCTCACTAGACACTGGATCGATCAACACCACGTAACTCCTGACTGCCGTTGTAAATTTAGTCGTCTCTAAAATCTAGCGAGGCCCATGACCTCCTTCACATCCTTCATAGTGACAGCAGCGAGCTCAGCGGCCTGTGCTGCACCATCGGCCAGCACCTTGTCGATATACTTTTGGTCCGCTTCATACTGCTTGATGCGCTCTCCGATGGGGCCAATCCTAGTCAAATTAAAGGTTAGCTCCAATAATAATTCATTCAATCAAACATCCGGCTCAAACTTACTTGGCAATAACAGCATCAGCCACACTGTCCTTGAAGGCGCCTGTACCGTAGTCGGCGTACTGTGCTTCGAGCTGCGCGACGCTCTGACCTGTAACAGCACTGGCAATATCCAGCAGATTGGAGACTCCTGGACGCTCCTCGCGATCATAGTAGATGCCGCTGATCGCGTCTGTGGTGGCCTTGCGCACCTTCTTGCGGATATCGTCGGCACTGTCCGTGAGCTCAATGCGACTGAGCTTTGACTGGTCGCTCTTGCTCATTTTCTTGGTCGGATCGCGCAGACTCATGATGCGTGCAAGGGATTTCCTCTGTGCACCAGTGAGCGTCGTGATGTCCTCCTCCACCATCGGGAATGGCTTGGGAAGTACTTCCTTTCCGTCCGGGCGGTTGGATCCGAAGCGGTCGTTAAAGGTAGTGGCGATCATACGTGTGAGCTCCAAATGCTGCTGTTGATCTTCACCTACAGGCACGTGCGTAGCACGATACAGCAGAATGTCGGCAGCCATCAGTACCGGATACGATAGTAAGCCTAGCGAGCTCTCGGTTTTGGCCGCTGCCGCCTTCTGTTTGAACTGCGTCATGCGCTGCAGCCAACCGAGCGGTGTGATGCAGCTTAGCAGCCACGCGAGCTCAGCGTGAGCAGCCACATCGGACTGGCGGAATAAAATGTTGCGCGTTGGGTCTAAACCGGCGCCCAACAATGCCGCCACCATGGAATGCACCTGGTCGGGCATGCGCTCGGCTTCGAAGGGCACGGTTAGCGCATGCAGGTCCACCACAGAGTACAGTCGGGTGGGAGGTGCGTCGATCAAGGCTGAAGATACTGGTTCCGACCCCTGCAGAGCCACCCACTTGGCGATGGCGCCGCAGTAATTACCCAGGTGAGGCGTGCCCGTGGGCTGAATGCCGGAGAACACACGACGCTCGCGCTGGTCGCCACTTTGGGTGGCGGAGCTTGCGATGGAGGAGGCGCAGCGACGTCGTGATGCCGCGGTGGTGGAAGAATACTTGCGCCGTGACAATCGAGCTGCTGAGCAGCGATGAGCTTGCCAGATCATCAGGACGCGAAACGTGCGGATCAAAACAACGAAACCGTCACTGATTGGCAGGAAAACTTTTTACTACTAGTAGTAGTATTTTTTAACCTTTTTTAATTTATTTTTCCTAACAGTTTCTATTTTTTAAAATTTAAAAAATTATGCCGTGCAAAGAATACTTTACAATAAATTGGTTTCTGACCAATAAAATCATTGATTATTTATTAACCCAATTGTGTACGTTGGGTCTTCTAAAGGGCACCTTAAGAATGAGAGTGAGTATTGTCAATTCTGCAGGAAATTGCCGTTCGATAAACGGCTCCGCAATCTCTCGCTCGCCAATAGCGCTCAACAAGAGAAATGGAGCTGGCCGCCACGAAGCAACATGCTCACCCAAACACGGTCTTCCACTGCTTGTACGGCTCTATAATCTTGGCTACACTCGCCAGTAACTCACTCGTGCCTACAACAAGAACGTATGAACCATCGGTAACAGGATACAGGCTCGGGAACATTTTAGTGGGCGAACAGCAAAGTGGACAAGAAGTGTACACCAGCTCATAGAGAATGGCTCTACAACTACTATCAGAAAAAAACACTTGCTTACTTGGACATAACACAAGCTGCCTTCACTGAAGCTACCACAATTTTGATCTCCAAGGCATCCGTTTGGCGCATTATCCACGACTTCGGACTTACGTGGAAGGTTTTTCGAAAGGCATGCAATGCATATTAAAGAGAGCGATGTGTTCAGATTCGCTGAGGAACTCAGTATTGTTAATTAGAATCATTAGAATCTTGTTTTCAGAAGAAGTATTGTGTGATAACCGCGGGATGCTACGAAAAAAAACTGGATACCAAATGAGGGGAGAACGGTTGCCGTACGTGGAGACTTTTAGCGGAAGCCGAAGTTTTCTGTATTAGCGTTTATTGGAGCTAACGGTTCACTCGACTACTTTAACACAAGGGACGTTCGACAGGTTGAACTTTGTAAATTGTTGCACAGATTTCGTGTACTCCGCACATGGGCGCGTACGTCTATTCCCGGGATCTAACTCGGTATGGATTCTCTATGGAGTATCATCCATCGCCATCCAGATATTATACACTTTCTGCGAAGTGTTGGTGTGGTCCCAATTTTTTGTGTCGGCATACTGCCCAATGATTAGCTCTCACTAAACTACACTATGAACTCAGCTAGCGATAATTTCTTCCAGACTATCGCTACGTGTATTACGTTACAGACCAAGCATACCACGCACGATACCAATGTGCCTTAGTACAACGTCTTCTCAATAATGGCACACGACGTATCTGGAAATGACCAGTTTGTGCTACTTATTGTTCTTTAAAACCAGCGCCTGGCAACCCTTTTTTTATGGTACTCAAAGAACTCAAGCAAAATATGACTACCGCAATGATCATGCCGTATCCCAAAGATTCTAGATCACTAGAGATCAGTCGAAATCGTTCGAGCATTCGAGAATGATACAAGGATGTGACCTTGTAGAGCTAAAAGAAGCCAACTTGTTGAAGATAGAACTTAGAACTAACTCTCAATTCATTAAGTTTCCAGTTTTCATTGCAAGCCATGTCGCTCCTTTCACCGTCAAACTCTGTATAAGAACCAGCGTAAGCGCTACGTCACGTACCGTGTACGCGCAAGTTCATAAGACGCGACTGAACGCGCGATGCTTAATGCGGTGTAACGGGATCATGACCCAGACTACCGACTAGCGGAGCAGATTCCCCGATGCACCGTGATGTTATGCTGAACATCCTACGCGACGGTATGAACAGGATGTTGCTATTCTGGTAACTACTGAAGAGCTCAAGGGGTAAAGGCTTGAGTGCTCTATTTGACGTGGGGAATGGGCAAAACTAAGGAGGGCCATTTGGAAAGAGAGCCATTTCAACAGAAAGGGCAGGCAGGCCCGCTTTTAGGTCAAAAGATGTTTCGCAGACATCTGATGATTTACTATACTAAAACTAATTTAAAACTAAGCGTGTCAGCTGCAGAATCCATTAAAGTAGATTTGAATGAGTCTACATACAAAATCCAGTTATTGTGAAAGCGTGTCCTTTGCGCACAGATGTGTCCGCTGCATTTGTGAAATGGCACCCAAGCCAACACTCCCAGCCTGTGGCTACATCGTGGCGGACCTTGGTCTACCTGTAGCAATGGTCGACGAACTACTATCTGAGGCCAAGGGTAGGACCTACGAACCTGTTTTTAAGACGGTGGGTGGGGATGAGGACGACGGTCTTCGTCAACAATTGCGTGTTAGCCGACGGTCCGCCGCTATCGCCAATCTACGCAATGCTATTTGTGATATCACTGCTTGTCTTGGTCCTGCATGGAATCCTACGGTTTTCTTGTTCATGCTGTCGTTATCTGGTGGTGATGAACAAGAACCTCGCCAGGATTATCCTAACGAAGTGATTGCCACCGCGGCCAAGAAGAAGGCAGGGCGTATACCTGCGAGCGCTATCTTTGCTCTGGAAGAAGGGACGATTCTTGGGTGTTCTCTGGCTGCTTCACGACACGAGGCGACACCAAGGCTTGCGAATTTCGTATTCCTGTGGGATACTGCATAATTTTCCGCGGGGACTTGATCCACAACGGCATGTACTACACTGCCACCAACCATTGGATCCACTGCTACCTCTCCTACCGTGGGCTCAAGTGGGCACCTGATATCGTCAGCAACGTGTTTCCCAAGCATGTCGTGTGTCAATACTGTGATTTGAAGCTTCAGGAATCTAACGCCATGCGCCAGCATCGTCGGTACTGTGTGAAGAATTGTTAGCGTTCAAGAATCAGGAAAAGCGGCGCCGCACAGACAATATAGAGTGTAATTGGGTGTGCGTTCTTTGTGGAGAAACGTTTCCGAAGAGCGGTGCCTATAGGTCGTACGTGTTCCGTGGATGCAACAAGAAGCGTAAGGCTGATTAGTTAGCTAGCAAGTTAACTTTTCAATACGGGCTGGGCGCCCTGTTCGAAGATAAGATATTTGTTGTTATACTAGATATTTTCTGGTTGAAGATAAGATAACATGTTGTTATATTAATTTTACCTATCCCCAGCGAGCATACCCCCAAAACCGAGGTGGAATTCCTTGTTCTTGATATTCTGTAATATCCGCCGTTAGCATTTCTTGGAAAGTTGGCAGGCTAGCGATGGTCGGCTGATCAGTTTCTACGTCTCTCTGATGTGAAGTTGGGGGCGAAGCTGGGTTGTTAAGGTCTACACGTTCAAACAAAACTGGGTCTCTGCGGATGCCGTAAGGAAGTCTAGAATTTCCTCGAGCACTACGTCGTTGACGTCTCCTCACAGCAGCATCTTCGCCATAGAGCGGTTCTTGTATTCGTAGCGGAACTGCTGTAGCCTGTTCACGGTTGAACCACCAATGCAAAGCAAAATCTGTCGGCCGTAAAACGAGCGCGCTATTCGATTATGTCAGGGCAATAAGCTTGTGTACGCATGGCCTGCCGTGATCAATTCTGAAGACACCCGAACATTCATCTCGATCCAGCCTGTTGAAGACTACCCTACGCGCTTCCTCCCAAAGAGTATGTGTCTGTGTAAGCGCTCACACCGAAATAATTCGTGCTACGGCTGCAAATCGATTTCCTTGCAGCAGGTAAGGATCTCGGACAGCATTTCGCTGGGCAAGAAGATGTGTAGATGAAGCTGCGGCTTCCCACCAAGGTAGCATGCACTTGTAAGCTGCTAATCAATCCCCGCGACAACCACGAAGCCAAACCTTGCACTTCGCATGTGTTCCTTCGACAAACAAAGTGTACCGGATACCAAAATGCTGATAGCGATCTGTCCACGCCCTCACAATGCGGCCCTTGTACTTCCACCAATGATTATCCAGGTAGCTCGATAAAACAGGGCACAGACGATTCATTTCTCCTCGTTTCAGCTCAAGCTTTTCTGCAGTGACTGCATCTACGGCATCGTAGCTGTACTTATGCCTACCGCCGATGGTGTAGTGAAGAGCTGTACTTACGGCTACCGTTGATGGTGTAGTGTAGTCACCAAGGGGAGGGAGGTCTTGAATTCCTTCGATTCGAGGATCAGCGTTGAGCAACAGTGACAGATCCATAGTTTGTGTTGAAAGTAAGGGGTTGAGCTGGAGAGGCTTCAAGCTGTCTTCACACGGTGGCGACTCGTAAAGTGACGTAATTATATGTTATGCATAAGGACAGACTGAAATGCTACGTCTTTTGTGTCCTTACCTGGTAAGATGCAATGGTAAATTGGTCATATTTTGCTGGAGTACGGCTTCTGCAACGAACACGGTCCTATTTATCTTATGTTTTGTATCTATCCACTTGAAGTCGAACAATGCCTGAGTGTCGTTTTTTTATTGCCTGACAAGTCACCCTTTCTGTTGAAATGGCTCTCTGACAAAACCAAGTAGCCGATCAGAAGTTATATTTTTCGTACTGTCGTTGTTTACCTGCTTACGTACAGTTCAGCTCAACCACAAATTTGTCATTAGCAAATTCACGGTAGACTAACAATGAAACGGCAGCGCGCATGCGGACGCCACCACCAAGCCGCCCACTGGTTAGCAATAACGGCTGCACCCCCCCCCCTCCCGAAGCAGCTAAACAAACCAGAAGAAACTCGAAATTGATTTTTTTTCTATGAAAATGATGTAAAGGAACTCTAGCTAAATCTTTTCGTGGCCTGGATGATCACGCCAGAGATCAAAAGCGAAAACTACTCTAGAGTGGCGCTAGGAGCAAGAGCGACTCGAGGCAATATGTGCTACGCCCAGTCTAGCTCGTCTAAAGCACATGCGGTCGAAAGGTAGTGTCCTATTCTTCCTAAAGACGCCGAACACGAAATTGTTCAGTGAATATATGTATCGCGGAATGATGGAGCCCTCGTGAGCGCTAAGATGCTTGAAATACAAGCAAAGGAGACTGCTAGTGCCTATAATGTTTCTCCATTTATGGCATCATGGCACTGGAGGAAAGGGTTTATGAAGTGGCACCGTCTGGGCATCTGTACACAAACCCGCCAAGGACAGGTATCAATAAATGATGCGGAAACAATTGCAGTTAACTGTGCTGTTGATATCCAACAGAAGATGATGGAGCTCCGAGTGGAAAAGGTTTTCAATGCCGACCAAACCGGTAATCTCTGTTTTTTAATTAACAGCTAATTTGTGTCATCTCAGGTGTTTCTAAGAGTACTTACGTAAGCACTCAAAAAAAAATATAGCAGGGTCAAAACCTGTTTGGGTCCGTGGAGTTGGTAAAGACCAAGAGAGGGAGTGGTTGTGCTGCTTGCGGACTCAGAGGGCAACAAAAATCCATTTCATGTTGTTCTAAAAAAACTCTCGATTTATAGTAAAGGTGGGGGTGTTTATGGACGGAAGCAAAAGCTATTATGAACGAGACTGATATTCAGCTATATACAAACCCAACGACGTGGTGGAACTCAGTAATTCATATTGAATGTCTAAAAAAATATTTTTTTGGAGCTCGGCCAATGCCCTGGGGGCCAATTTTGCTATTTGTTGCTGCTTTTTTTCAGGCACTGGACGGATGAAGTACAAGAGTACGCAAAAAAATATCGGAGTAAATATGATGAAAGTACCTACTGCCCTACAAATACTGGAGCTGATGCTCACAATGCTGCTGATGCACCCAAAGGCGCTACCTAATCTTTTCTGTCAGAGCTCAACCTGCTCCATGCTACTGCAGGGGAGTTTATCAAGAGGGACCGTGTTTGAGTCACATGCATTGTCGTTTGCCTTTAGAAAGTTGCCTGTGTCTAGTTAACATTTATAGTTATAAAAAAGCACCGGGTAATATCGAGTTATATTTATAACGGCGCACAGCGTATTACACATCTATAGTGAACACTACAATCTCGAGCTACGATGAGCTCCAAAGGGCTAGACGTGCTGCACCTGCATGGACGCGATGCGATTAGGCTACACGACAGCTTTCCTGATCGAAAGCAGTGGGAAGCGTTCCTGAAATATGTCGCTTTTAACAACAACAAGTCCATTAAACAGATAAATCGTGGAGGATCCAAAAAGACGTTGAAATGTACCGACGAAAATTGTGAGTGGTTCGTCGCCTTGTCATATCGACCCAAACCCAAGACACAAAAGGCGTCAAAGCTGAGTCACATCCAGCCGAAAGCTGGTTTGTAAGTGACCTTTGTTTAAAACACAAAGATATTTGCAACAGTACTCGTCAGGCGTCGACCACATAACTGAGAGAGTTAAGTGGCTTCAAGGCAGCACTGGTTCAGGGTCTAAGCAGCTCAAAGAGGAGATTTGTGGAGTCGCCGCGTGCAATTAATGGTGTGGATATGGAACAAAGCTCGACTTCGATGTACAGAGCTGTCAATGAAGAAAAAAAAGCAATTAGCACCAAAGCACAAGCCAACCAGACTAACAAAACTCTTGCTAGCTGGATGGCATGCTTCGGTTTAAGGAATAATAATTCGCGTGTTTGTTGCCAATTGGGTTCTAGTGGGCGTTTTTTTTCGTGCTTTTCTCTCTATCGGTCACCTAATTGGAAAGCAAGACAGCTTACTTCCTGTTTTCGAGTGTGATGGTACACATATGAAAAATCCGGGTTACAACGGGATATGTGTCACACAGCTAGGTCTCGATGGGGACAAGAAAACCATTCCGCTTGCCGTGGGATTAATTCACAAAGAAACAACTGACAACTTCGCCTGGTTTTTTGCGAACTGTATTGCTGCTGGTTTGAATTTTTCGCGCTCTCCTGTTTCACAGACAGAGGAAAGCAATTAAACGCTCAAGAGTTGCTCAATCAACTGGGTTTGCGTATGCATCTTAAATTTTGCAGTCTTCATCTCGCTTTTAACGTCGCAGATCGATTTCGTTTAGTGGAGACAGAAAAACTATAATCCGGGATTTGATTTACAAGTTCCAACGTGCTTCGTCACAACTACAGTACGAGGCCGTTGTAGAAGAAATAGAACAAGTATTTCCTGGTTCAATCAATGAAGGGACCGAAGATGAAGAGAAAGTTGCTGATTATATCACTAGAATTCACCCAACTAGTTGGACTAAGCTGGGAAACTTCCAACCAACCCCATCTGAAGTTGAATGGTATAAGTCCAATGGCCCGAAACTCCAACGTTTGGCGATGCCAAATCACTATTCGGAATTAGAACCACAAGTAGTATCGAAGGTTTGAACAACGTTTTCGAACTCTCCGGACTTCGAGACAGATTTCCTCAGGCTACCCTGGAAAAAAATTCTGCCACACTGTCTCGAAGATAATATCTGCAAATAGCGACGAGTGCGCAAATTGGATCAAACAGAACGCGAACCCTTTCGCGTCCGAAAAGTTCGAGAGGGAAAAATAAGACAGACAAAACTTTCCGTACAGAAGCAAAGCAATACACTTTTTTGTGGTCTACAAAACATATCCGACGCATTGTAGCTCCGACAATGGTTCTATCCACGCAACTAGAAAATTTGAAGTGGATATTGCGACACATACGCGTAGGAGATGTAAAGTGAAGGAGCATATGGCAATTCCCTGTCGCCACATACTAGCAAGTTTACAATTTGCCGTGACACGTTGTGGCTTAGATAAGCCCGACACTGAAACACTATTTTTTCCTGGCTATATACTGACTACGTACCAGCAATTATGTTTCCCTTGGAGTGTGATCTCAAAAAAAGATACCACAATTCGGCCTTCACCAACTTACCGTCAAGCTGGTAGCAGATCCGTGGTCCCTCGGGAACGAGCTGATACTGCTAAACGACAAAAGCGGATCCCCAATAGAGGGAAGTCGTTCGAACAGTAGTGATTCTACGACGTCGACTGGTTTTGTGAGCAAAAACAGTGCAAATTCGCTACAGACTTCTTTTGTGATGACATTCGTGGACGCACACTACCTATTCGAAAAGAATATCAGTGCTCTATTTGTAAATCTGTGAAACACAACGCATCTAGGTGCACTCATCGTACCGAAGAGAGAGAAGACGCCGGGGGAGAATATCCATTCTGAAAGATATGTCGTAGGGGAAAGCCCATTTGCAGTCTGCGGTGTGGCTCATTTCTATAATTCGTAAAATAGCATTTGATGAACATACAGTTCACTAACAGGGGGGGGGGGGGGAGGAGCCTCCTTCACAATAATAAAACGACGACTCTATAATGTGCTTATTTCTGGTTTTCGTCGCACAGGAACAAGAAACGCAAGATGTAAAAGCTTCATATACTGCAGTACTCCGTGCAAAAATCTGTTAGGATTTAAAGCTACTACAATGGCATGCTAAAAGTAGGACGTATTTCGAGTACAGAGGATTTAAATGAGTGTATCATGCTTCTTGTAATGAAATTGATGCCACCTATAACGTTGCAATATGTTAACTTGTCCACAGCAATTCATGTGGGCCTACCTTACATGATTGCGGCAGCTATCTAGACACAGGACAGGCAAATGTTTAAATGGCAAGCGACAATGCATCTGACACAAACACGGTCCCTCTTGATAAACTCCCGCTACGGCAGACGATATCTCGTCGGATGATGACCCATATGGATGAAAACCATCACATATCCGACCTTACTTAAATTTTGTATGCGCTTGAACTGCCTATGACAGCACTCAAGCTAATTTAAACCAATTATAATTCACTAAATGCTGAGTTTCCGCCAGTAGATCTTTTTAGTGGTAGGTGAGTCTTCTAAGCCAGCCATTCCGACGTATCAGGCCGGAAGGACACGGGAAATATGTGTATGTCAATCCGAAAATCAAGTAACCAACATATCACTTACATTTTTGCAATACATCCGACAGGATGGGTCTAGAAGAGCTCAAGTCAGGAAAAACAAGACGCGCTAAGGCAACCGCCATCGCGGCGTTCAAGTCTTTTGTTAAGAGCGAGTCTGTAGATTTTGAATATGTAAGGAGATGCATTGAGAAGGATGATAGTGGAAAGTGCATTGTGTCAATCTTAGATATATTTGGTATGTATCTGGCCTTTAACGAAGGCAAGAAGGGCAAGCAACTTGCCCGCAATACTGCAATGCAGTGCTATAGGCAGAATAACATGTGTTTTTGCGAGCTCTTCCTCACGCAGCGACACGTTGTCGAGGCAAAGGTGCTAAGCATGGGGAAGATGCTAGAGAATTTTTGCATGAAAAGAGACGGAAAGGTGGCGAGCAAGGCACCACCATGCTGTAAGACAGACTTACGTAAGATGATGCTTTATCTGGTTAAGAGTGTGTCTATGTCAAGCGACTATCAAGACGCAGCGCTACTGTGCATGTTGTGGTACCTGATGGGACGCGCGTCCGACTTGTCGCTCGCGCAGAAGCAGAACCTCACTATCGACGCCGCCGACATCCTGTTCGTCAGCTTAAGACGACCGAGGAGCAAGGATTGTCGCTTTTCCCCGATCTGGACTTCGTCACCTGCCCGGTGTACGCCATCGTTCTGGCACTCATGACGCAGGCCGCTCCATGCGTCGATCTGCTGGAAAACCTGCCGCACTACATGTCCAAGCTACCATCTCCTTGTCCCCAGCCACGCCTCTTCTGGAGGTACTGGACCACCCTGATGAGTACGCAGCTCTTGGCGCTGCTGCCGTCTCGACGGGTTCTGCTACGAGTGAGAAGACACCAACCATCTACTCTCACGTCAACAGAGTGCTTGACCGGATTGCTGCCGCTGCTGGCATCAAGCTTGCTCCCTCTTCGCATTCCTTTCGCCGGGGTGGGGCACAGCACGTCAACGGATGCGAAGGTCTCACGCACCGCTGGATCGTTGACCGTGGTACCTGGAACATGAACACAACAAACAAGGGCTTCAATTACATCTTCAACACAAGTCGCGAAGATCACAAGGTTCAAAAGGCTCTCAGGTGGATATGGCACGGACGCGAAGGTACCTTTGAAGGACTTAAAGTCCTTCGACGCGCAGACGCAGGAGAAGATCGCAACTGTCCAGCACTATCTGTTTGCAGCGTGCTTCAAGCTTGACCAAGCCAGTACAACGTGAGTAAGCGTGTCCTTGATGTACTAACAGCTTCCCTTCTTCTTTATTATCCGCAATTGAAGAATCTTCATTCCCGAGGGGCCAGCGGTGAGGCGCTTGGAGTCTTGTGTGCAGCTTGCAGGGTCATCCCTTGGGCGAGGCATCTAGCCTCAGCAACCTGCAATACGAAGCCACAAAGCTCGGAAAAGACTGAAGCTGCACCATGCAAGCGACCGAACCAAGAGAGCACGATCATCGAGCATCAACGCAGTGTGGTTGACCAATTAGTCTTGCTTGTTAAGCGCCAGAATTAACGCATGGATATCCTAGAAACTAAAGTGGAAGGCAACACACAGCAACACAGAATCGACAAGCGTCAGCGTGAGAAAGAACTAAAACAAGACAAAGCACACAAGCGCCGACGGACTTCCGTCACTCACCTTCACGCGACGTGGTACCCGTGGCACGCTCAAGAGCCACGATGGCTTTCTGACCTGCCGAAGCAGCAGCGGTCGAATGCGCAGCAGCTGGTGCCGTACATGAAGCTCTTCACCGCTGACCCGGATCGACATGATCTGCTAGATCCCATGGCTACAACCCTTAGGACAGTAGCGCGCGAAAGTAACCTGATAATCGCAAACACTGTATATGCATAAACTATTACCAAACTAGTGAGCCCGCATAATCTCCTTCAACATTCAAAACGAGCACAAAACGAGCAAAACCTGGGGTCGAACAGCTCTAGCAGTGGACAGGAACCTGGCAACTACAGGTGCTGTGACGTCGACAGCGCTCACACCCCACCCGAAACAAAACAATAACAACGGCTGAAATTGAACCAGCATTCCAAGGGGATTGTCCTGCGCTCTATCCATTGAGCTACGTTGTCGTGGAGGGGAGAAGGGTGGCTGATCCGGTGCTATCCGTGCTGCTGCACAACCTTGGAGCCATGGGCTGAGATCTGCGCAGTAGCGTCGACAAAAGGTAGAGTGAGGCTCTTGCTTGCTGTCGGTGAAGTCCAATCTAGGAGTGTGCGATCGTGTGGCTAGAAACTGCTTACTGACTGCATGTCTGTGTGTTGCCAAACGGCAAGCTTTTTTTTGGTTAATGTTTAACCAATGATGCGCGTGCAGTAGTGACTAGCTATCGATGCCCTCATCGTATCCGGGCACAGTCTCATTATCTGGATCACCATCTTGTTCGGCCTCATTTTATGATTTACCGGGTTGGAGGGCACACGGCTCTCGAGCATAATTTGCACGTTTTTAGTTTTGTGCGTTTTACTCAGCCTACAGGCCGTTTCACGCGATTCTAAGCCGCCTATAAAATGCACAACAGGCTCTCTTTTGAATCTCAAATCGCACTTCACATCCTCTGATCATATTGATAACCGTTTAGTACCGTATCTGTCAAGTTAAGTACGTAGTTTTTTGTTCAATGTACCGTGATTATGGTACAAGTCGTACAGGTCCCCAAGTCGGATTTTAATGGTATGGTAGTGAGAGTGAGGAAGAAATGACGATAATATCTAATGCAATTTTTCAATTTTCAAACTTGTTTCTATCCCTAGATTCTTTGCATACCATTCTTGACTATCTCTAGGATCTGCTGTTCAAATCATGCAGATGCACGTCTGTAAACAAGTACGGAATACAGTATAATTTATAAACGCTAAACCCTAAATCCCCTAGCGACTCGTCAAGCTTGGATCTGGATCCGGCCTTGGGTGGCATGTACGTCAGATAAAATGGTGTAAAACCACCGACGTGTTACCGGAACGAAGAAATGCTTTTCAGGTGTTATTACTTTGTAATTTTTTATTAAAAATACCTTCACGCCGTAGCGAACCAAATCTTACTAATCTGTTTTGTCCTTATTTTTAATCAATTATACGAACGTTATTTTTAAAGAGCTATATTTTCTTTTAAGCTACATAATCAGTCTTTCGTTAACATTATCGGCCATTTGCAACCGAAGTTGTATTTCTGGGAATTGCGAGTTTTGATTGGCTAGATGGTCCGTATTGACCGGTTTGAGGCTGATACCACGCATAAAATTGGGGTGCCGTTTACAACCTCGTTGCAAGCACCGTTGCATGAACGGGCAACTTTTGCAACCGTAGCATACAAATAACAAGTCAGCCCCCAGCATAGTAAATTAAGTTAGGGTTGCAAACGCAGGGGTGCAAATCGCCATAGTAAAGCCAACTCAAGGTTGTAAACGCATTTGAGTACAAACAGAAATCATCGTCCATGGCTCAAGGCACGCGGCGCTACACTGCGTACAGGAAGGTGAAGGTCGTACTTCTAGAGAATTACAAGGATTACAGTGCCTAGAGCTAGAGCTGTGTCCGGCGTCATGTCGGACCGCGGTACTGCAGGGTGGACACGACACCGCACGCCGCACTAATTAAAGCCATTGAGATTACATCGTACAGATCCATTTGCCAAGGCAGAGATGCTCATGCTGGTGCAAGGCCGCTGACACGACGCCGGGCAAAGCTCAGGCCAAGATGGGTAGCCCATAATGCCGGCCATAGCTCCGACCATGTAGATGTCGTCGGGTGTAGCTTCGAGCAAGACGGTAAAGCTCGTGGCCACAGCTGTGGTTTCCAGTGAAGAAATTCACTTCAAACTACATCTACTGGTATATGCAGGGCCGTCGGAGGTTTCGTGGAGACGCTATTCCATGAGCAGACTCCCACAATAACCAATATCGACCTTGATAAGCGAGAATGCAGTTATAAGTACCATCCATGTTACTGTACTTATATAACACTAACTCGGCGATATAAGCTCCACTTCCGTCAATATCAAGTTACTTGTAGTTGTCACGACTTTGGGTGTCATGCAGTGCACTTAGTCTAAGTAAAGCATGGCGCCGAGCTATATATTGCCAATCAAACAACTCCATTCCAAAAACCCATCAGACCTTCGTTACTAACCAAGTTGCACAATCGACCAATATTTATACAGTATAACACCGATTATTGGAAAGACTAAGGGCTCGGTCTAACTATTGCGAACAGGGTTCCCGAATACGGCATTGTTCACAAATGAAACTCGACAAGCAACGTAAATTATCGGAGGAGTAAGCAAAAGAAACAAATTCAATTATTGCAATACCTTTGCCAGTGCACACGATAATGATTCCATCTCTGCTTACGTGCACTCGTTGACCACTTGCGCGTTTCCAGTAGCTGCTGTTCATGCGCAAAAACAGCAGCATTTCGAGCGTGATAGGATTCAGACCTTGGCGAGACTAAAACAATCGCTCAGCGATACTTGACGATGGCAGGATTGCGTGAATCAACTCGTACTTGGTGGCCCACTTGTAGCTAGCTTACGACGCTTCTTCACCTTCTCAACAAATGAGCTCTCAGCATCGTCAACCGCTGCTGCAACGGAAGTCTCTTCACACTGGACGGCAAAGCGGCGCAGAGACGCAGTCTCGGCCCTCGTCAGTTCTGCTGTCTTGCCGTCCAGTACTTTTACATACGCAGCCTCACAATGAGGTGAGTGCACAATCGCAGCTCGGGCATCTAAACAGAAAGCGTATTAGCACGAATATTGAATGCATATAAAGAGTAGCATTACCGATATGCGATGCCAGCGGAGGCAGCGACTCCAATAGTCTGTCGAAGTACACACGCACGTCCAGGAGTGATACCGTAGAAGCCTGCAACTCCTTGCTGACAGACTTGACCACCGACAGGTCCTCCAGGAGCTTGCGCAAGCGGCGATTGGTAGCTGGACCGGGCAGGTTGTCGGCTAGCTCGTCGTCGTCTATAATGAACTCCAGCAGTCGAAAGAAGCGGTGAATCATACAAAACGTGGAGCTCCAGCGAGTGTCCTGACTTAGCACGGGCCTCAATGGAGTTTTGAACCTAAAACGGAGTTAACAAAGTTAGCGTGCAATCATTGAACAAAAATCGTTGAAAATTACCTGAGTGTTGAGGATTGGTATAAACTCTTCAGTTTGACCATCAGCGACTTGACTTTGTCTAAATCGTCCGATACTTCACGGAAAAAGTTCTGCACCGCCAGATTCAGGTGGTGAGTTGCACAGCCGACCAGTGGCACACACAAGAGGTTAGCAAGGCATTGGTTAGTGTAGCAGTTGTCTCCTACAGTAAACAGGTAGTCCTCTACACGCTTGTTGTAGTCGCGCATCAGCATCTCACGTAGAAACGTCAGGTGGGTCGCTGCGGAGAGATCATTCGTCGGGGAGTTCATCAGCGGTGCCATGGCCGGCAGCGGGTATTGTGCTGTTCCCGCCATTTCAAAGCAGCCGAACACGGCCAGATAGTGCTCCGAGTTAAACGACCACCCATCGGTTATCAAGCCGTACCGCTTCGGCATGTCGGGCTTGATTGCCACCTCTACGTGACGCATCACGCTCTCTAACCCGTGGTACAGCGTCTCTTGGCTGATGCGCTCTAGATTAGTGTATCTACAGCAACAAACAGCCAGAGTAAATAGCTAACCCAACAGATTAGAAACTCAAAATTACCTGTGTGTTTCTGCGTCCTCGCAAAAATGAAGAGGCAAATTGCTCTTGATAATCCAGCTCATCCAGCCGAACAAGCTCAGGCTGTGCTGGCGAATATACGGTGCGATAGTACCGGTAGCGGCTGGGGCTGCAGTCAGCGTAGTCAAGATGCTGAGTCTTGACGTGCTGGGCCAGGTTGCTCCAGCCAGTCCGTGGCGCCTGTTGGCGCACAACCGAGCAGCGGCAGCGGTAGTAGGCAGGAATAGGCTCCTCCTGGTCGTCGAGGACTGGACGAAAGTAGAATTTCTTGTTAGCGAACATTGCAAATGTAGAATGACAGTGAGGGCAGTCCCGACAAGGCTTGTAAGCCATTTAAAACTCGCTAGCCATTCATTTCAACGACTGGTCCCCAAGCATGCTACCGGTCATATCCGTAAATAAATAAAATGTGCGTTGCACCGTAGTAAATAATTGCTTTCAATTAACCAAATCGCCGCAAGCAATAATTACGCTATATTGATTGCAATTATTGTGATACCAATTGATTTTTCGGGAGCCCTGATTGCGAAGTTCTTCTATATTACAGTATAAGCAAGTACTAGTAATGGTTACTCTAATCCCGTTACAGTCACTCTTCGCGGGTACCGTTGTTGAAGTGTCGAATGTTAACTGAAGTGAAACGATTTCGGAGAAATTTGATGTAGGACGCTTACCAGATTGTTTGACCAGAATAATGAATGGCAACCTGGCACTATTCCAGAAGGGTGACCGGATCAGAATCTCCCAAGATTGAAGGCCCTTCAATGAAGGGACGGCAGGAGTGACATTAAAGGTCGCTATCTCGGAAAGCACTCGGAAGGCAAGGAGGATCTAGGCCTGAATGACATGGAGTTGAAGTGTACGCGACGATCGACAAGTGGAGCAATGTCCAAGGTAATAGGCAGAGATAACGCTATTGTCATACAGTCGAATTGGGTCTGGATCTCTTTCAGTACTGACTAGTGCGTCAATAGTGATTCTCAATCACCACACGGACATGAGCTACGCAGGTATTAAACGCCTTGATGTCCACCCCCTTCATGCTCTTACGATACGAAAGAACAATCGCGTTAGTGACACAATCAGTGGGATATGTCGAGCCCAATCAGATATTCACCGTCGGAGGAGAAAAGATGCTTGTGCGCAGCGTCTGCTAACTTCATCTTGCTGTACACCGTGCTGTCAGAGCACGATCCCGGCCAACCACAGGGGAATGCTATGATCCTTCGATTGTCGTCACAAACAACTTGCGCCGTTATATTATAGTGATTTTTCTATCGAAGTAACACTCACCGTCGACTGCTGGTTTTTTTGTTTTGCGAGAGTATGAATGTGGTTCCGTCGATAAACCCCACACAACATTTGAACCCTTTTACAGTCATCCCCATTGGCATCCCATTGCGTCTGCGTTTACTTGGCAAAAAGGCGTACTTTGACGAGAGATCGTTTAGAGCTTGAAGGACTTGAGTAGTATGTAGTACGCAAGTTTCCTTGTCAGTTCCCTATAGTTTTAGCGTTCTTCCCGGAAGAGTGCCATTCCCGCAATTGCCAAGCCGACCCAAAGCAACAGCGAATTGTAACGTGACGTCTCCTTGAGGGTGGGGGCTGTTGTTATGAAAGTCTGGGTGCGTCGCGATCTCTGATAGAACAAACTGAAAAATTTCCTTGGACATCCGTATAACCTGTCGTCTGGCAATTGCATAAAGTAGCTCTTGGCAAAGTCAGAGCTCTTGTCGTATATTCGCCTCCCCCTAATATCTGAATTAGTAATTTCTCAGCGTCTTGAAAAGAATTAATATGAAAACTGCATTTTCTGGACGCCTGTCATTGAGCTTCCGATATCAGCAGTACCAAGCCCAGCTAGAGCCCTAATCAAGACATGCTTTTCTACGTCTCGGCTGGGTGCAATCCCCGAAATGCCATTTTACTAACGGCCTTGTTATTATCCGACTCAAGTTCATTTTTGCAGCACAAGAATACTTCTCCGGTCACCTAAGAATCGACACCTTGCTTTTCTCGCCATAGATAATCGTAGAGTTTTTCTTGGTCGAGCTATACCGCAAAATAAAGCTGGTGACGTTCTCTACCTGTTGATTATATTGGCTGCTCTAAAAATATAGAAACAATGATACTACGAGTCAATTTGTGACCCGATTTTAGATGCCAATAAGTATAGATAAATGGAATTCGTCGTGCAACTTGCACGTCGAATATATTATGCTGTTTGGTAGTATATTCTGATTTTAATTTTAAGGGTCACTTACACTTACAAGTCGTAGCGATGGAAGTTCT